AAAAACTAACTCTCACAATGACAAGAGAGCATATAAATAGTAAATTCTAAAACATCCAACTAATGGGCTCGGCCCAAACTGTTTAACATAAATAATAAGATAACAATGAACAGGCCCAAATAGGCTAAATAAATAAAATAACAATGCAATGGGCCCAAATGGGCTTAGTCTCCCAACCACAGCGTGACAGGCTGGGCCATCCTACGCCGTCTTCGTCCATATACTCGTATAGTTTGTGGTGTGGGTCTGGTGTCCCCATCAAAGAGCTCCAGATTGCCTTCTAAAATAGTCATGTCCTTTTCATTCAAGGTCACAAAAGCTTCTATGCCATCACACCTTGTGTCCACCAAAAAGACAAGGTTCATGGTAAGCGAACACGACAAACCGAAACTGCTGACCCAAACAGGCTTGCCCCATCCAAAATCAGTATCATAGAAGCCAAATTTACACCAACTGGAAAAACCAAGGTAGTCTACTCCATCCCCGGAGCCAAATGCACCTATACCTTTAAGTGATTCATCCATTAGAGCATTGCCTTTATCACCTTTTATATGCTCAACAAAATCAGAATCAATTTTTGATATTGCTTTCCTCATCTCACCAACCAAGTCTTTTAATCCAGGCTTGGACTTGTTTGTGTATTTTGCAGCTGCTAACCACAGAAAATTTCCCATGGAATTACCTGACAACTTCGGTTCCATTTTTCTTCGTAGATTCACATAGTGTGTTAGTAAAGAAGGCCTTTGGGATCCTCGCCATTCTTCTGAGGCAGCCATAAGGCACTTCCATAGGAAAGAAGAGACCACCTCGACGCGAGTGGGGCATTTCAATCCTAAGATGGCTGCTTGGGCCTTGAGGTTGGAAATTGCTGAGGCGTCAAACACAAATCTCTTGGTCATGCACTGGCCCTTTTTGAGCAAGGAACCAAACATAACAATCGCCGAGTCTCTAAGCCACAGATCATTTGCAGGGAAGAGAGAACTGGCAATGAATTCGGGATATATAATTGCTTCCTTGCTACCTTTGGCTGTGGCAGACCAAGCCTTGAGAAAGGTGCTCAATGCAGCACCATCTACGACCCGATGAGATATGCACATGCCAATAACAATACCACCACATTCGAAGACATTTACTTGAAAATTAGCAACGTATGTGACTGCTGTTGATTCCGTCGGAAGGAGCTCACAGGGAAAGAACTGATTAGCTAACAGGAGGTCAGGCTGCCTAAGGAATTCACAGAGATGACAGTTTACTTGTGTCTCCACATCATAGGCCCCTTCATCGTTGCAATCAATGGAAAGTTCATCTTTGATCTTTCCAGCAAGTGGATAGAATTGAGTTAAGGTTTCTGATAGAGATTTTTTAAGCAACTCTAGTCTTTTGGGGACATCAAGATAGCTAGTACTAGCCTTTTTATTCATAGGATAGAACAGGAGAATTGGTGCATATGGAACAGTAACAAGCTGGTCCAAAAGGGACAGCTTGAAATTTCTTAGGGGTGAAGGTGTTGGAGAAGATGGCTTTACATTTTGTTTGGAGATGATTTGAACTTCCATTTTCCTTGTTTTTAGCTTCCTTTCAAGTTGGCTGAGGGATCTAGCGTAGCATCAACATGTTTTTATACCTCAGAGAGTATCATACATAAATCCAAGCAAACCACGAAAAGAAGTGGCAAAGTGATGCAGGCGGAAAACAAAATGTAAGAATACAACCAGCAAAGAAAGACAAAATTGTTGTCAAAAAAGGTTTTTACACAAGAATCTGATTCGCACTCAATAATTATCTTTCTCTAAGAGTTTAAAACAGCCAGAAATCGACAGAGCTTTACAAGGGAAAAAAAGTCAAAATCCTAAAATCAAAACGAAAACACAACAGACAATTCGAAATTGAATTGAAATTTGAAAAAAGAAGGAAAAATTCAAAATTGGTCATACAACACCTTTCAAGCCTAATTTGAAGCTCTTCTAGTGCTCAGTGGATTACAGCCAATCAAACCTTCCATAGAACACAACCTGTAGAATTATCTAGAAAAATTTGAGAATAATTCAACAATCAAATAGAAAATTGTAACATTTTATGTCAAGTTCATGCTCTTTTCTTTTTCTTAACTTTAGCTTACTAATCCATGAGTCTATTAGGTTTTCTTCACGGTCCGCGGGTAAAAGATCCATCCAGAACTACTAGACTTTTCGAATCCGCTACATCACAAAGAGTTGGTATGTCTACATACTTCTTATGCCATTGACTCTTTCCAACCCTTACAATGCCTGCAAGTCAAATTTTGTGAGCAGATATGTCAAAACAAATAGCTACAAACTATTAATGGCATAAGCATACTTGAAAATCTGATCCCTATAAATCTTACCACTTGAAGGTTTTCTTTAATCTATTGCTGATAAAAAATTTACAAGCATGATGGAGGTTGCTGTTTAAAACTCAACACCATGTTTTTCTTTAATTAATGAAGCAGCGTGGATCACAATGTGAGTTACCACTTATCTATCCTTGCCGAACCACCACTGCTCCAAGACTCTTGAAAGCTTTTTTACTCTTTAATATTCTGAGAGACTGTCACCTTCAAACTATTAAGCTTTTGCTTTTGGTCTTTTACAAGGTTTTATGACAAATGCAGCCTTTCTTGTCCAAAGATTAAGTAAGCAAATATTCTGGTTGATAAGTTTACAATACGAGGTTGAACTCGGAATAAGCACTGACCTTCAACTTCTGACATGTATTCTTAGATCACTTGAAAAACTCTGTTTGTAATTTTTAATAACCTGTTGAGAACAAAAGCATCTGATACTCTTGTTTGAACCGATAAACATGGCATTGCAGCTTTCTAGATTGTTAAGTAACAAAATTACAAGGACAAGAAAGCTTTTCAATTATTGGATTCGACGATATTATTTCGTTTTCATAAGGTGTGGATAATAAGTTGAGTTTGAGTAATCTTTGCTGTTTGCTAACGAGGAAACTTGGATTGAATTCAGGGAAAATATTGAAGAGTTCTTATAATTTCTCAGGTTTTAAACCCTCTTTGATGTTTCAGTCTGTCAAAAGTACACCAACTTTGATGTTTCAGTAATCTACGTCTGCCAACATAGGTATTTGTAGTCATCAGGACAATAAGGAGCAAATAGCTCAGCTAGAAGCCACTTTTTCCTTCTTGGATTAAACCCCATGTCCTTACAGATCTGATCATTGCAATAGATTTGCAGCAACACGCTAATGCATGATCTTTTGTAGCTCTCATTCGCATAATACTTCATGCATTTTTCCCATTTTTTCACATCAGCTTCCATCTCTCCTATGGTTGGTAACTTAAATTTGCCAGCAAGAAAATGGGCTAGCCACTTGCTTCTCATTTCTGTTGTATACAAGAATGCAGGACTATCCGCGTATCCAAGTATTGCCAGTTGTGGGATATGGGGATGTATGCATTCCCTGAAAGATTAAAATAAAATCAATGTGATAAGTCAGTAGGATTGAGGACTCTGAAAACACCAAAAGATTAAGTGCATCACCAGCACCTGTAGAAGGGAGCTAGTGACTCGGTGATGCATTTCTGAAAGTAGCTTGTTTGGAAAATATTCTTGAGCTTTTCATCACTTTTGTATCCGGTTGCAAAGATAACAATATCTGTTGCTATAGGGGTCTCCTCGCTATCTATAACCAAACCGTTTTTGCAAAATTTGAAACTCTCCGACTTCTTCAGGACGAGGCTTCCTTCTTCGACCTTGTCATAAAAATTGGCCGGCAACACTGTGAACATGCATGAAGATATCTGTTTGAGGAAGCCATGTTCTGGGACCATATTGTATTTCTTCAATGGTTGCTTCCTCTTGAGATAGGCCTCCACTAATTTTGAAAATATCCACAGCTGAAACCACACATTATAGGGCGTCAATTGGATGACAGGCAGCATGTAACTATCACAGGAGGCGCTATGAGAGGTTACCAGAGGTGAAAGCAAAATGACTAAAAGCCAAATGAAAAATCCTTGATCAGGCTTGTGAACCATAAACTCCGTGAAGCGATTTAAGCTTTTGAAGGTGAGTGCGATAAAGTAGTCAGGAACTATCCAATGGACAGTTCTGAATATCAGTGTGCATGGGTGATCTACACCTAATGAATCAGAACAAAATAAACAATTCAGTAAGAATCTCATGATGTGAAACACTAGAACAGAGTCAGTGACAGCATCTGAATGAAGAAAGGGGTTAAGATTTCGATTCAGCCACGATCAAGAAGAAGAAAGAAGAGAGACCACTTATTTCCCTTGTAATCTATTTGTTGTCATTTTCCAAAAAACCTAGCCAACAGCCTAATATGGTACAACTAGACAATCTGTTGCTAAATATCATGCTCATCAATTAGCATACCTATTAATTGAAGACTTCACAAACCTTGACTGATAATAATAAATTTTCGGCAGAGAAGGAAAAGTCTCAAAACATGTCTCAATCCATCAAAAGTTTCCCGAGATAGGAAATGCCACTAACCATTTCTCTCTGCAACTTCTGCTGCTATGTCCACTGCTGATTTCTGAAAGCCGATAATTGTAACCCGTTTGTTTGTAACTAACTCAGCAGCACAATCATTAGCCATTGCAGCATAATCCATAGAGTGTAAGACCTTCCCGTTAAACACTTCAGGCCCACTGTTCAAGGGAAAATCTGGTATGTTAGGCAGGTCACTGTACTTTCCAATGCAAAGGATCACAAAATCCAGTTGGTAAACCTGGAATAAGAAGATCATACAGAAAGATTGCTTAGTCCAGACATCCCAGCAATTTTCTCCACCAATTTATCATCTCTAATGGTTTAATCTTGTCTCTAAATTTACAGTAAAGCTTTACTCTGGATTTCATCTTTGTGTTCTGATGTGCTTAAGTTGTTGAACTGAATAATTCAGATCCAAATTATGCCAATCTTGAACTTAATTAAACATGAAAAGAAACTAAATAAAGAATACTAATTAACACAGTAACAATTGAAGGGAGCAAATTATAAACAGTAAATCAGTGGCTTAGAATGAAATAAGCAAAAAGATCTTGATTACCTCAACTGGTGCAGCGGGATCCCTGGCATCCTGTACAGTGACATTCCATCTTCCAGTAGGAGAAAAAGGCCAACCAATGCCACCCCACAAATCCCAAGATGGGAAATCCTCATTACCTGGTACTACATAGTCTATGCAAGTCACTTTGCAGTTAAATCTGATCCTAGGAAGGATATTAAAGTGAACAGCATAGGCTTTAATGTACTCCATTACTTGTTCGTCATCAGGGAAAGTCTCTGTAACTGAAGGTGGCCAAGCAAAATCTGAAAACTGGTACATTTTTTTAGGTATTTGTAGCTTTGTAGACTCTATGGTTTGAGACCAGACTCCACCTATGCCACTCCTTGCTTCAAACACAATAGGGCTAAAACCCTTCTCCAGTATGTGTTTGCATGCAAGTAAGCCACTGATTCCGGCACCGATGATGGCAATCTTCTTCTCCATTTTCTGGTCCCAACTCCTGCAGGCAGGAATCACTATTATAATGGACCCTGAAATTCATCATTTCCCATGCAAACTGATAACTAAATGCTATGACGTGGGAATCACCTGTCCTCTTTTCCTTTCTGGTGAATTGTTTAATTTTACTTGATTGAAGGAGCTAAGCACCTGAAATTCATTGATTAAACTCAACTTGAATTGATCATTAAAGCACGACTCTTCTAATCATGGATCAGCAATTTGGAGTTTCTTTTCCTTTTTCCTTTTCTTCTTGAAATTGCAACCTTTCATGTACGATATTAAAGAGAACCTCGTGGATGATTTAATACAGGAGAAAAGGCGACACGAGACAGGCTGCTGGATATCTGTCAACCTTTTTTCCATGGTTCTTAATAGTTACGATAATTTCAAATTCAATACCGGTTTTTACATTTCCGACCATAGATTCTTCTATATTCGGATTGTTATATTGAAGAGAATTTTTTTTTTTACTTTATTTGGCAAGTGAAAGATCCGCCTATTTTGTTTTTACCTTGAATTTTTTTTCTAAAAAATGATGAAAACAAAAACATCCATATATAAATTTGAAAAATTATTATTTTTTAACTCAGCTAAAAATTATTAAAATATTAGACCAATATTTTTAGTCTTACTTAAACATTGAACCCATAATTCTTTTCACTTCAAGAATCTTGAGCTCTATAATTAGATTATGAGTTTTATATATATATATTACTCCTTGAGAGTCAATTTTGTTTTTACTTTTTGATGATTTAGAAATACTTTACATACACTTTTACCATTTTCATTAAAAAAAACAAGTCATATAATTATATTTTTCTCAAATGATATTTATTTAAGTTTTTAAAATTATCAAATAAGATATATTTTGCAGGGATTCAGACACCAACTATTTTGGCTAGGAAAAATTAATAAGATTACCAAAGATTATCCAATTATTATATAAGCCTTCATCCAGAATCTCACGGGGAAAAATCCGAACCTCATCTGTAATGCTTTTAGATTATGGTTGAAGCGTTTGATATTTTATAAG